TAAATTGTGGCCAATTCATATATCACAAAATACAGTAAGATATCCTTTACATAAAAATAAAAACTGTATAAACATGATGGGGCCAGTCCAAGAATAGAAGCAAGTATTTGTTAAGTAGAAGAAATATGGTTTAGGGATTCACTCATTCAGAAAAACTATGACAAGATCCGCAGGTGAATTAGGGTTCTTCAGAGAAACAGAAGCAGTAGGATACACAGAGATAAGGAAGGTACTATGGGAATTGGCTCATGTGATCATGGAGAAGTCCCACAATATGCTGTCCGCAAGCTGGATAACCAGGAAGACTGGTGGTGTAGTTCTGTCCGAGGCCAAAAACCAGGGGAGAGGGGGGAATGGACTAGTTTAAGTTCTAGAGTCTCAAGGGAGCTCTAATGTTTGAGGGCAGGAGGAGATGAATGGCCCAGCTCCAGAATAGAGAGAATTCACCCTTCTGCCTTTTTGTTCTATCTGGGCCCTCAACAAACTGGATGAAGCTCAGCCTCATTGGTAAAGGCAGATCTTCTTTACTCAGTTTATTGATTCAAATGTTAATCTCTTCCAGGAACACCCTTACAAACAAACCCCAAAATGATGTTTCACCAGCTGTCTGGATATTCTTTAACCCAGTCGAGTTGACACATAAAGGTAACCATCACAACAAGGGAATTATACAAACCAAAATCAGGGTAGTGGTTGCCTCTGGATGGAGAATAGGTAATGAGATATTGAAAATATATCAGGCAGTTTAAGTGGTTTTGGTAAAGTTCTCTTTCTTAAGCTGCATGCTAGGTACAAGTGTTCATTCTATTATTCTTTATACTTTATATATACACTGCATATATCTGCTTGAAGTATTTTACAGTGTTTTTATAAGAAAACTAAAAAAATGGTCTTGATTTCATCATTCCTTTTACACAGTGAAGAATAAGACAGTGAGCCCTCAAGGCCCCTAGAGCAGTGCTGTGCATGCAGACAGCACTCAGTGTTTGGCCGTAAAGGAAGCTTTTGTTGACAGCTCTGAGCGCTAGGTTCACAATTCAAAGCACTCTCCTCCTCCCATATCCTCTTCCTAGGTTTTACAGAGGTGACTCTCCCAGTGAATATACAGAATGTAACAACTATTTTGACTGGCAATGTCAATTCATTTTATATTCTTGCCAGAAACTCTGCTATAGCAAATACTTGTTCAGATGAAGAATTGATCAACATGTGGTTCTGAATATCCCTGCTCATTCTTTCTCTTTCCTTTTTTTTTTTTTTTTTTTTGAGACATAGTCTCACTTTATCACCCCGGTTAGAGTGCAGTGGTGTCGTCACAGCTCACAGCAACCTCAAACTCCTGGGCTCAAGTGATCCTCCTGTGTCAGCCTCCTGAGTTGCTGGGACTGCAGGTGCATACCACGACACCCTGCTAACTTTTCTATTTTTAGTAGAGACAGGTCTCGTTCTTTTAGGATATTCAGTTCCAAAATGATATATTCTAGAGAATTCAGCTTTGCTGGCTTTGTTCTCTTCTGGGGGTGAGGGTGGGGGTGGGGGCTGCCAGAGCAAGAGTTTTCTTTCTTGTCACTTTATCAATTTATTAGCTGAGCAAGTACTTATCCTGTGTCTCAGTTTTCTTATCAGTAAAATGGATATAATCAAGTGTGTGATGATATATGTGTATCTATCCACTTATCAATCACTTGGAGGAAGGCCTAGCATGTAGTAAGTGCTACATAAGTCTTGGTTGTTGTTATTGGTCATGTACGGTCTAATGATTTTCAACAAAAGTCTACAAATGGCAACTATTTGGTTAAATTGTAATTTATCTTGTGTAAACAAAGAGGAACTTTAACATTAGAAACATAATTATAAATAAACCAGATAATGTAAGATTTGAGATTATAATTAAATCTCAGCTTAAATTTTTATTTCTAAATAATTTTTACATAAAATTATGACATGATTTCTTTGAATCTTAGCATTTAAATTCACATCCAGTCCCCAAATGATGATTTAACAATACCTAAAATTTAAATTATGCTAGTTGATACAATGTTGTCCTATGGCATTTCATTTGATCTTTATATCACACTTTGAAATGGGAATTATAATCCACATTTTATAGATGGAGAGAAAT